TTTTCTATTGAAATTTTTACATTTTTATGTAATTTCTTGTAGAGGTGTATAGATTTTTTACCTTCATTTGAAAGCCCAAAATCTTAGCTTTCTAATGAACCAATTTATAATTACATTGAACTTTTATTCATCGCGCAGTAAACGATTAAAGTCACACCAAATGTATATCGATCATTGCCCGATTCCAGACTTTTGTCCACTAAGTAGTGATGTGTTGGTTCAGTTCGGTTCAGTTCGGTTAAACCAAACCAAACCAAACCAAACTGATCAAACCAGTTCATGCATAATCAGTTTATATGTAACTAATATTTATACATAACGATCACTGGACATGTCACATCGTCTGTAATTCATTATCTAAAAATCTTGTATCATAAAGTAATGTTGATATCATTTGATAATACAACCCCCTATCTCTTTATTCAAATAAACAAATTGTTTAATTAAACTTGTTTTTTGAGACGTTGATTCATTTAATTACATTCTCTGTCTTAATCTTAAATGGCAATTTGTCATTATATAGTATTTAAAACAAACGATAACAAAAAACTAAATTTCAAAAGATCGTTTTTCTATAAGCAATACTTTTTAATGAAAATACATATTAAAGTTGAACCTTTATATTTCTAACGATTATTGTATTTATATATGATTAATATTAATGAGCTTGTTTTTTAATCTCTCTTCGTTGTTTTAACCACAAATTTCGGATTCTTTTTACATCCCAGTCCTCGGGTTTAGTATCAGGTAAGGTGCAAATTTCGATTAACACTTCTTCCATTTTCTCTTTAGATAAATCATCTAATTGTTTCAACCTAATAAAAATTTCTTGTTCTGAATTAGTTAGATATCGACGTTTTTTGGTTTCTGGAGATTGTTCAAAATCACTTTTTTGTCATTTTTTTTTGAAGATTGTTTTTCGATTTGCTGTGATATTTTTTGTTATTGGATTGTATTTGTTTTAATATTTTTTTTACGACGTCCTTTTGTAGTATAAGGAATAGTTTTTTCAATTTCTTGTGCATAAATTTCTTCAATTCGTTCAACCCCAAATTTATAACATGTAAATATATTCTTGAAACCTTCCGAGTTGAGCTCAGTTGTACCCTTAAATATTTCATGGATGGTAGAATTAGAGAGATTAAATGCTTCAGTTAATTGATTAACTAAACTTATGAGTACTTCTTTACGAGATGCCATTGTACGATTATTTTGAATTAAAATATCATCACCAACATATTCATTTAAAAGCAAATCCAGTCTTTCACGCTCAGTTTGTATAGATGCTATTTTTAGTTTTAAATTTTCATCATCACCTAAATTTGATCCAATATTTTGCTTAATATACTTTACTCCAAACCTTTCTAATGCCTCATCAAAGGCAAAAAAATGTCCAGGACGCGTTAAATTAACTGAACAAACATATTTAAGTAATGTTTGAAGTTCAGGATCCGTTATAATACGATAAATAAAATGTGTTGTTGATCGGGTATAATTATTTTTGCCAGCAATAACAAAAAGTGGTGCAAATGCAGTTAAATTTTTAAATTGCATGTCATGATTTCCACAACGAATTCCAAGTTTATGTCCAATCCAAAATCCTGCCCAACAAAAATAAAGATGCCATATCTTCATAATATTATTATTTCCTGTTTGAATGCTATCAAAAGTTTCTCCTTTACTTTTTGTAATTCGATTTAAAGAAATTCCAACAGCCATCCAGATTAATTCCAAAACGCGACAGGTAGCTTGATAGTCTACCACCTTTTCTAATTTATCCAAATATCGAACACCAAGATGCATCGCCAAATTAAAGATACCATACCCCGAAAAAACAGTAATCAATGTACCACACATTTCTTTATTCGTATGCCATCCTCCAAGTAAAAATCTCATTTGTGGTTGTTTATAAGTAAGTAACCGATGATAAATTGCCTCATCACATGCTATATCTATATTATTATTTGCATTTACTTTGTTAACATCATTAAAATACATATCGCATGCATGAAATACAGCCTCATTATTACATGGATTTGCACCAGCCTTAAGAATAATTACATTGGGTGATGGTACTTGACATCCAAATTCGATATCTTTCTTTAACTCTTCAAAAATATCCATATTAAATATTGTATCAGCATTATTATTAAAAAACTCTTCAAAATTTCGAAGTTCATTGTCCGTAAAATTTGATGTCCCAACTTTAAATAAGTATTTTTCATTATTATTATAAATAATAGCCTTTGTATTAGTATTAGTGGAAATCGTGTGCAAAAAAATAGGTAACTTGAATTGGAAGACCATTCTTAAGGTGGCATGATTTGTTGTCCGAGTAATGTCATAAATATTTCCAAAAGCGAATGTACGATTTTTAAAATCGATGTTGTCAATTACACAAACATTCCAAATGTTTGCTCCTTGCTGTAATCTTTCTTCAGGTTTAATTTCACTAATTCAGATTTTTTCTAATCTTCGTTCATGACGTTGAGTATGAGAAACCACATTTGCTGTACAAAGAATTATATATAAGGAGCTCAGTAAATTTGGATTTCGACATAAGGAACTCATGATATGAGTTAACCATATATTAATGCCTGGGAATGCTATTGTTAGAATCATGGATATTATAAAAGTTGAAATTTTTATTGAACAAATATCATCAAAATCTTCTATTTTGTGCCCTCTTTGTTGTCGTTTTCTTTTCATAACTTCGTATTTTTTCTTTTGTAAAAAGCTTATAAATCCATTAAAAAAATCTCGTAAAAAATTGGGAAAGCTATTATAATATTCTTCCAATGATTGTGGTGTTTCAAGTTTCTTTTTCTTTTCATATACATTAATACGTGAATTCCATGTTGCAAATCCCAAAGCTTCACCCATTTTTCTGGAATCATCACCTGATAAATTATACGTATAATATTCACTTGTTAATTTTTTTATATTCACTTTTTTTAGACGTAGTGCTGTTTTGATTAGAAGTAGACTTGGAGGTGAGATATTATTTTCAAATTCATTTTGTTTTGCTTTATCAAAAATTGTATCGAATATTGAGCTTATTTCTGATAATAAAAGTTCTTTTGTTTTTTCATTATTTGATTCAGCAATATCAAAAATCCATCTTGCGAGTAACTTAAGTGCATCAGTAGTATCACAATTATGTTTTTCATGACAAGAAAAAGATTTTGCGCCACTTCCTTTTCGTTCAAATAAATGACCTCCTTCTAATTGAAAGCATTTAGAACAAATGTAACGTGGTTGTTGATTGGTATTTTTTTTGGTGAATATGTCATTCTTATTATAAAATCCTGAACACGTTTTGAGTCCTATACAAGGTACTTGTATATTACGACCATAAATATTGATTGTATGTTCTATACAACTTTTGCCACGACTAAAAAAATATTTGTCTTTATGACAAAATAAACATCGTCATCGATGAATATAACTCTCTTCTATTGAACGTGATTGTTTCAATTTCTTTTTATGTAAACGATTTTGATCAAATCTCAAGTGTGACATACAAACACCTAAGGTATGTAACATGCTTTCAGGATTGGTTTGATTTATAACACTTTCGTCAATCTCCCATGTTCCGATGAGTTGTCGGAGAGGACGAAGCATGTGTCCTGGCTTTTCGTAATTTGGACATCGTTTTAATTCTCCATTAAAGATATCTATTATTGCACAAGGAACAAGATTTTCGCAAAATATCTCTTTTATAATGTAATCATTCTCACATATATCAGAATTAGATGTCAAGTTAGAATTATTTTCTGTTGAATTTATATCCTCCCATGTTATTTCATCTTCGGTAATATTTTCTGAAGTGTTGATAATCATTTTAGCATTTTGCAAAGCTGCATAATCAAACGTGAATTCATGACCATTATCGCTATTATTTGTAGATGATGTTGACGGAACTTCGATTTTATCTGTAGGTGTTGATGGAACTTCGCTTTTGATTGTAGATGGTGTTGATGGAACTTCGCTTATATTATCAGTTACAAAGCTATAATTGTCACTATCAAGCCAAGCATAATCTTTATCAGGATCATTATATTCGAGTTCAATGTTGTTCGTATAATCCGCAAGAATTTTTTGTTCCCAAAAATTAACATTTTTGTCTTGAGAAGTCATAATTAGCGTAAACTTAATTTTAAATATTCTGTTTGATAGCAAGCCAATTATCAAGTTAAATTAATTCAGAACGCAATAAAAAAATTAACAGCGTTAGCGTTAGTGATTGTCAATTTTTATTACGTGTATAACATGACGACATTGATTTTTATTACACTATAACAATGACTTTGAACAAAGATCGTTTAAAGGTTACACTTACTATAATTGTTTCGAGTTGAATATTATATAGATATTACTTATAGGTTTCTTTTTCATTAACAGAACGAAAGTGTATAATTTACGGTATAACCTTTGGGAACAAAGTGAAGTTGAGCTTTAAAGATTTTTTCATATAAAAAATAGAGTTTCTCATAGTTAAATTGTTGTCGATCTCATATGAAAGTAAATAGATGTTAATTTTGTGGGACATTTCCAGTGTTCGATAATCAGTTTATGTGTAACTAATTTAAAATAATAACTGTATTAAATAATCTGCATAATAATAATCATAATATTGTAACAATTAAAATATCGATATTAATAAACTCTTTTATTCGTAAAATTAACATTGAACTATAAATGCTATTACATGTATGAAGATATTAAAATACTATATATTAAAAACTAATTCTAATTTAAAATATA